CCCCACGTGCCCTTCGCCGGCAGGTACCTGCCCTCGGTCAAGGTCTCTGTCCTGTTTGACAGCGTGCCCCATGCAGCACCAGCATCCTTAATCTGGGGAGACAGGGAGTGTGAGCCCCGGCAGGCAGGAAGCCGGGTGCTGGAGGAGGGTGGAGGATGGCACGGGATCTTTGGAAATGGCAAAATGCGACTGGCCGAGACCCAGAGCTGCTGGTGCTGCCTGGAGCACAGTGGTTGGGGCCAATGGGCTCCTGCTTGTCCCCATCCCAGGCGGCAGGCGAGTGGTGAAGTGTCTTTCCAGGGTGAAAAACAAGCCCAGGCTTCTCCACGCAGTCTGTCTTGGAGAAAGGAACATCGCAGGCAGCCCCTGAGCCTGGGAAGATGGCAGGAAAGAGGGATGTTCCGCTGCACCCCTTCCCCAAGGAGGCAGAGGCAGAAAGCGCAGGTGGATCTGGTCGGACCTTGTCTTGCCTCTTTGCTTTTTGGCCAGGGAAGTACAGCAGGTCCCGAGAGCTTCTGATAACCCAGGAGAAAAGAAAAGGTTGGGCCAAGGGGCCGTGGCACAGGGCAGCGCTCCAGGCACAGCAAGCTGCTCTCATCCGCAGCAGGACATCAGCCCAAGGGGTGGCATGTTGGCAGGGGACTGGGGTGCCCCTTTGCTGAAGCAGACGGTGGCAGCAGGGTCTACAGCAGCATTTGGGACTGTAACCATGAACTGAGTGCTCCACCATCACGAGACACACACCAGCAGCTCCAGATGTTTGGCACCATCAGGCAGCACCCCACAACCCTGCCCGAGGGGCAGCAGGATGAGTGTCCCAGCAGCACCCAGCAGGAAATGGGGAAACAGCAGAACAATAACCATCATAATTCATAGTAAAAAAAAAATATGTAAACGACCCAGCACCCTGTCCTGTAGCACCAGGACACCCAAGAGAACAAGGTATGTTACAGTCTGAGGGGAGATGGAGACACAAGGACTTCCCGGCCAACGCGGGGTCTTGTCTCTATTGCACTTTGCATCATATATAATAAAAATACAAACTAAAGGGCTGGGGTGGAGGGGGTGAGATGCAAGCCCTGGCTCAGCAGCAGCTCCGTGCACGTGGCAGGCTTCAACCCATCTGCTTCTGCCTTTCCCCATAGCCCTGTGCCAGCCCTGCCTGGAGCAGCACAGAGCTTGATCCTGCAAAGACCTCAGGGTGCTGAGCTGGTCCAGAGCCTGCCCACCCACCAGCCTTCCCTTGCTCCCCTGCCAGCGCTTCCCGAGGCACCAAGGCCTGGAGGGACAGACGCACAGCTCTTCCCAGCCACCTCCTGGGCAGCCCGGCGCGCTCTCCATGCTCTCCCCAGCCAGCAAAGGCCCGTTCCTGGGGGAGATGGACAAGCCTCACCTCACCCCTCTGCCCACAATCCCCCTTAGGAGAAGGTTTTCTCCTCCCATTCTCTCCTCCTCGAGCGCCTATGGTGCAGATGGCACAGGGTGATGCAGTCCGGGGACGCCCCCCACACCAGTGACAGTGATGGAGGATGCTCCTCGCTCCCAAGGCCGC